CTTAGGTGCCATTCACCCAGATCATTGTGCGGGAGCATAGGGCATACTTCCATCCCATCCGGGGTAAATAAAAGACGGAGCTGTTCGGCGGTGGGGCATTTTGCTTTTCCGTTTCACTAGTTCCGGTTTACAAGTCTCACTCTGGTGAAACCTGTGAACTCTTGTGAAGCTGGAGCAAGCTCGTCAGCCACAATGGTAAACCTGTCAACTCTTGTGAGCACATGTGAAATCTCTCCATATGACTCCTCACGTCGATGGGAAGTGGAAAAAGTTTGAAATGCCCCCCCAGGCGCCGAACGGCTCCGGGAAGGACCTAGCTTTCACTTTACTACGTCTATTTTTGCTTGTTTTCACTCTTGCCATAGATAACGCAGGGAGACTGATGGAAAAAAATACCAAAAATTTACTTATTGGACTTTTTTCTTTCACACATTCCGCAAGGTTGCAAGGGCTTGGTTTAGCGTCTCGACGTTCACGATACGTGCCTATCTCTGGCAAGAATCGAGTTCTTTCGCACCTCATCCATCATGCCGAAGAGTCGGCTCGTGTCGTCGCTTGGTAAACTTACTGGTAGGAATTCGAATCGCTGCCAATCTCATCAACATTGTCGGCAGGGGTTTTTGCAGTGCACTGATAGCAATCGACACCACCACACGCGCCCATCTGGTTTTTTTTCAGCGGCACGCGACTAAAACACTTGAAAAGCAATTTTCACAAAAACAAGAAATCCCAGGGACCAAGCAAAATCACAAAATGCAAGCTCACGAAGATAATCCAGATAAGTATCAGGGCGTCACATAAGCTCGTGACATTTTTAAACCTCCTTTTCGAGTAAATTTATTTCGATAGCAATATTTAGAACAACGTGTGCATGCACCATCACTTTTCAGTTTCATACCAAGCAGGGCAGCTAAGCGTTTTTGGTACCGATTAATATAAGAAACTAATTTAGGGCTGTGGGAGGGGACGGTGGGAACAATGAAACTTCAGAACCAAGCTTTAGGATCTTGAAGTATGTTTCGACGCGTAACGAGTTGACGTGAACGTTGATGGTTGGCGACCATAGCCCACAAAAGTACAGAGTTGGGTTGGCCCATAAGTAATGGCGTTTTTCTCACTTTCGAAATTTCGCGCTAAAGACGAAAGTTTCACCATTTAGTTTCACACTATTTCACAGAGAATACCTCGCCCCAAAGGATACTCCTATTAGTTTTTTCAAAGATTTGGTTGCCACTAATTTTCAAGAGCTCAAGTTGGAGTGTCGGGTCAACGGAATTGAGCACTTTCGACACCCTCTCTTTTTACATCTAACACCCCCACAGGCCCTTAGTTAAGTATATCGCCGAGAGGCTACATCTCTTAGGAATGCTTAGAATGGCTCAAGCGGTTTGAAGATTCCAATTTCGCCCCTACAGACAAGCATTTGAACCTAATGCCCTATTAAATCCAACTGAGACCTTACTGAACCACCTTATCCGCGGTCCGCGGAGACTCATGCCAAATGACGGGGAATGGTACATTTCGTGGAAGGCATCCACGTTCTCACTGAGCATCACATTCGCTTGATTCGAAACGTTTGAAACTTAATGCATAGGATCCGCAGA